TGCAAGCGCGGTGCCGATGATCCTTGTCGTGCCTCTCAGGCCCGGCAAGCGGGCACAGAATTCGCCTCCCAGGCGTTGCCAGCTGCCTCAGAGGCAGCACCAGAAGCCCCTCACAAACGTGGGCGAGCTTCGACTGAGTCTGTGAGTACATCTTCGAGTGCGAGCTTTGTTCGGGATTCTAATTTTTCGCATGCCCAGCACAGTGCTTGTCCATGCCCCAACAGCGAGTTTTTAATTGAGTTCGAGCGATTGAGAGATTCATTGATGTTGAAACATGCCGATCCGACGGCCGGATCACCTGATGCCTTTGCTGCCGCCATCCTGGCCAAAGGGGTGCCTACTAAGGAAGATGTGCTTGCGCTGGCACACAGGCTTCCAGCGAGTCCCTCTCCTAGGGATGAAAATGCAAAGTCGTTCAGCTCTGGTGCATCCGTGCACGGGGGTGCAGTGAACATACGCAAGACTTGTGAGCTGCATCCTTTTGTGACTTTGGTTTTGGCTGCCTTTGTTCGTGCCAGGGCCCCATCGAGTACCTTCAGTACGGTCACCGTCCTTTACGAGGACGCCGCGAAGCCTCACAGGGACCTGCAAAATCATACCTGTGAGAATCATGTCTTCCCTCTGAGCACGTTCTCAGGGGGAGAGTTGTGGGTTGAGGGGCATGGCAATGAGACTCTGACTCTGGATGGCAAGTCAGTGACTGGTGGCCCACTTCAGTGGGTTGGCGATTGCGTCAAGTTTCGGGCTGATAAGCTCACGCACTTTGTTTTACCTTGGAAGGGTTCCAGGATAGTCTTGGTCGCCTTCTGCATTAGGTTCTTTGATGTGCTTGATGCGGATAAGCTTGAAACCCTGACCTCCTTGGGGTTTAGGCTTCCCAGCCCTACAACCTCCAGTTCGCCAACAAATGAGATGCGAGGTTCCCCGGCTCCTTCTCCTTTGCCGCCTCAGGATAATCTTGCCCGAGAACCTCAGGAGCCTGCGAAGGTCCAGCCTCTTGAGAAGCCTATGTTCATTGAAATTTGCGCGGGCTCGGCCCTGCTTTCAAGTATTGCTCGCGAAGCTGGTTTCGACATTTTGCCCATCGATGCAGGTCGCAAGGTGCCCCGGGCATATGCGCATGTGTTACGCCTCGACTTGAGAGAAGCGCTCACGCTTCAATTCCTGCATAACGTGCTTCGGAATAGGACTGTTGCCTGGCTGCATTTCTCCCTTCCGACTGGGACGATTGGCCGAGTTTTTCGTAGCTCTGCTGCACCTCTGGGCCTACCAAACTTGCAGGAGCCGCTTGCCTCTCAGGTGGTTGCAGCCAATAAGATTCTTGACCAAGTTGCAGCTCTGCTCCAGTCAGTCGCGATATCGTTTCCTACAGTCGGTGTCTCTGTAGAGCACCCGTTGGGGTCCGTCGTGTGGGAGCTGCCGGCCTTCGCTCGCCTGCGCGGCTCTCTGTCGCACGTCTCCGTAACTGCCTGCTTCTTCGGTGCACCTTACAACCGCAAGACCCTTCTTGTGAGCAATCGAAATATCTTTCAGTCTATGGGCGGCCGCTGCCCTGGATGCGCACACCACTGCAAGCCACCAGGCTCTGGGTTTCGTGTGGATGGCAGCTACCCCAAAGCCTTCTGTGAAGCCTTTGTGGGCCATGTTTCGGCTGACTGTCCTGGCCGAGGTCTGTTCTTGGCGCCCCAGGCAGTGTCGACATTGCATGCCTCGCGCGCTGCAGCTCAGGCCCAGCCCCGTGCCACTAAGTTCCCGCCTTTGATTTCCGAATTTGCCTACACGGTGACGGTGCGTGCAGCGCAAGCCCCGCCCTTGAACCCTAAGTCGTGTCTTACGGCCGCCTGGCTTTCTGTGCCGTTGGGTGCCAGGCTTCTGCGGTCCAGTGTGCCAGGGGGTGTGAATAGCCCGCATCAGCCTGTTCCCGGCCTTGCGGATGCTTCGCTCGCTTCCTTTACATTCGGAGTGTATCGTGAGCCTAGCACTTTCTTGAGAGAAGCGAAGCTCCTCAGGCATCCCTTTGACACATGTCGTGGGCTCCCAGATGGCATGCTTAAAGTGTTGCACTTTGTCTTGGTGCAGGGCCCAGTCGGAGTCATGAGGCACCGGCTCAACGTCTTGAAGCTTTGGCAAAAGTGGGCAACTGAGCTTGCCGGCGAGGAGGAGAAACTTCGTGCAAGCCTCCATCCTGACGTGAGAGCTGTCCTTGGTAACAAGCGTGTCCTTTTGATGAAGAAGATTGCTTCGTCCCTTCAGTGGCCCGACACCACTTTGTGGGATGATCTTACTAGCGGTTTTAAACTCACTGGATCCCAGCCTAGGACGGGAGTCTTTGGTCCAGACTGTAAACCCGCTTTGTCTTCAGAATCTGAATTTTGGATGGCTGCATCCGCGCAGAGGGATGCAACCTGGAATCGAGTCGATGCGGCACCGCCTCAGGAATACTCGAAGCCCCTGTGGGACATCACGCTTGAAGAGGCCGATCCCGCAGGCAAACGTTGGCTGCATGGCCCGCTCACTCGAGAAGAAGTGGATGCGATTTTCCCTGGCGGCTGGATGCCGTGCCGCAGGTTTGCAGTGTGGCAGGGGAAGTGGCGACCAATTGATGACCTAAGTGAGAGCGGAGTTAACTCATGTTTTGAGTGCTTCGAGAAACTTTCTCTTAAGGCCCTTGACGAGGTAGCGTGGGTTTGCATGTACATCATGAAGGCTTGCAAGTTCACTGGCTCCGTCGATCTTGAGCTCAGTGATGGCACCAGGCTTCGTGGTCCGGTGCACGCTTGTTGGAAACAGGTTGCCCATTGCAAGCCACAGACGAAAGCTTACGATCTGAAGTCAGCCTACAAGCAGCTTCCTTTGAGGCCTTCTGAGCAGGCGAAGGCAGTTCTCGTTTTGAAGGAGCCAGGCGGCTC